TGTTTGGTTGCTGAGCCCAACCAGACAGTGATGGAGGTGCAGAGAACAGACTCCATGATTCCTCTGTAGAACTGTATCAGCAGCTCCTGGGGCAGGTCGAACTTCCTGAGCTGGCACAGGAAGTACATCCTCTGCTGTGCCTTCTTGGTGATGGTCCTGATGTTGGACGTCCATTTCAGGTCCTGGGAGACAGTGGAGCCCAGGAACTTGAAGGACTTTACTGCTGATACAGTGCTGCCAAGTATGGTGAGGGGGGGTAAGGTTGGGGGGGCTCTTCCTGAAGTCCACTGTCATCTCCATTGTTTTTAGCATGTTCAGCTCCAGGTTGTTGCAGCTACACCACAGGACCAGCTGCTCAACCTCTCGTCTGTAGGCTGACTCGTCACCGTCTCGGATGAGACCAATGACCGCTGTATCATCAGCAAACTTTAGGAGCTTGGCAGAGGGGTCCTTCGAGATGCAGTCATTCAGTTAAACTCATTAGTGGACAACTCCTGATAGACACAAGAGTAGGGAGGTACTGTTTTCACTGAGATCCATGTACTGTAAAGTGAGATCCATTTTTATTTGCCAAGGTGTGTGTGCTTTCAGGTGTAAGCCAAGAATTCTTGTAGTTTTTACCAAACTGAATGATTTTCTTATTTTATCTCAGGCTAATGTTTACATGTGTTCTCATTTAATGTTCCTGTTCAGTGCGTTTTATTGTGCTGTTGGGTGCCTATGGAGCAATTCCTTTAATCAAAGACAGTTTTCTCCTATGGGAGATAGGATTAACCTTGATTTTCACTTATAGTGCACTGAAGAATAAGACATCTACGTGCTTATGTGAGAGTTGGAATTGGCATGTAATGGCAGCAACCACAAGTTCAGGTACTGCAAAAAAATTGTTTTCCTCATATTCTTTAGCCATTTCTGTCTCAGCTAACACACTGAACCTAGGGTTCAGTCTTATTTTCTACATTTCATAGCCTAAGCATGTAAAGATTAAACTGCTCTTCTTCTAACACAAATATTCACATATTCAAAGTTTCCGGTGTCAATAAATCATAAGTAAAATGTTGTTACGTAAAACTAGGGCTGTCAAAATTACTGCAATAATAACTCATTAACGCAAATTCCTTTTAACACCAAAAAATTTTTTGATGCGTGATTAATGCACACACATTCTATGATTATGACCCTCAGCCCGCTCCATAATTTGGGAAATCAGGAAGTGATGCAGCAGCAGAAATGAAAAATAAAAGGATCTTTTGAATGCCACCTTCAGCTTCCAAGCCCTGCCAGATGTTTCTGTCGACAAGACCAAAGTTACTTGCATTTACTGTTGATGTGAACTGAGTTACCACCGGGGTACATTGAGTCTCAAATATCACTTGCTGGCCAAGCACACAGCTGAAGCAGCTCCCCCTCGCCAAAGGCAGGACAACGGAGCTGCCTGGACAACTCTACAAGCAGAAAACTTTCAACAGTGATAGCTAAATGGGTGGCTGCAGCTTGCAGAATGATTAACACTGCTTAAGGACGAGAATGACATAATTTGCATCTCATCCAAAGACTGCACGTATGAATTGCCTTCAAGAGCCACCATTGTAACCAAGACACAACTTGTATGAAGATGAGAAAGCTAAAGTGGAGGAGGCGTTGGGACACACAAACATGGCTGGCTCACCTCTCTCTCTCACCTCTCTCAGTAATCAGTTACCCTGAGGTTCCTTTAAGGTACATTTAGAACCATTGCTTCTCAGATCCTTTACTTAAGTAAAAGCAGCAATACAACAGGGTAAAAATATTCTGACTGACTTCAGCAAAATGTTTGACATTCATCTGTGAGTCTGAACACTTTGCTTAATTTGGGGATTGTTTTGTTTTTTGTAATAACACCTTCTGTGATCAGCCTCTTAATATCTGTTTTGTTTGTAGCACTGCCTCCACAGGAACAGTGTGTATTTCAGTGTCCATTCATGTTTTGCATTGACCATAAATGGTCTTGGGAGTGTTATGGGCGGAATATGCAGCTCACCAAAGTGCGCGCATTCTCCAATTGACAGCGATTAATAGAGAATGTAAAGTTGTCCTCATGCCCTGTTGAATTTGGGGTAAATGCCACATTTTGGAAGTACCACGCTCATTATCAAGTCATAGATATATACACTACATACATCTATAAGTGAATAAAAACAATAAATACAAGGTCCAAAATTAACAACTGCCAAGTGCCAAGGTAGATTTTCCATTTGGTGAGTATCTCCGAAGACTACCCACCACACTGAAGGGTAAATGTGTAGCACACGTAATAAAAGTATACTAACGCCATTTTCAGATAGGACACCCCCATTCTGCGCCCAACACCCAAGCCTAAAAATACACTAAAAATACACGTGTGATAAAAATGGGCAGTGTGGTCACCTGGAATGATTAAAATAGGAGTGTGTGGGTTACACACATCTCAAAACCAGAAAATAGAATTTTGCATTCAGGACTTCTTTAGTTGTATTGTGGCTTTTAAATTTTAATTCAAAAATGAATTAAATGAATTTACGATTGATATATTAAAATAATTTTGCTTCAGATTTTACTTTGGCCTCTTTGCATTTGTAGTCAACATAATACCTTTTTATCTCAATGAAATGCTGAAGCAAATGTGCATGTATCCCAAAAAGTCAATTCATTATTTTGACCAGTGAAAACAAAGTTTGGCCAGTGGAGTTTTTCACCTGGCCGGTGAGTCAAAAGCTTAATTTCAGACCCTGCCCATACAGCTATATTTATTAGCAAATGCTTTAACTACATCCAAACACCCACTGTAGTGTTCAGGTTGAGCACAGACAGGACAAAAATGGATTCTTCTGCAATGTGTTATCTGCCAACAGCTGCTAGCTAGCTTAAGCTCCCAAACTGAGAGTTGAGTGGAGCTGCAATCAGGGTGCAGAGTCATTTTTCAGCCTGTCGCTTTCATTGACAGGATCTTTAAGTCTGCTATCAAGAATGTATGGAGGTAAATACAGCACCCCCTACTAAGATGGTGCTCCCATCCCAACTTTCAACATGACGTGATGTACCTTCACATTCTCTATAAAGGGAAATTGCATGGAAGCGTGTATATGCACGGTTTTATATATCTGAATTTTGTGGTGTACGCCTTTTCTGTTTAGTGTGTATGTACATTTTTAGTATGGATCCTACACCCAGTTTTATAAATGAGGCCCCTGGTAACCAAAAAAGCAGAGAGAGACAGATTTGCAGGGCAGAATCAAAAGGAAGTCCAGGGACATCTGGAGACTGGTTAGTGAATTACAGCTCAGGTCCGGAACATAACAGGACCGATACTGTGATAGTTACATAAATCTAACTGCAAAAGGGACCATGGATATGAACTCTAGTCTTTGCTGTGACAGTAGTGTAGTGCGCTTGGTGTGTCTACCTCCAAACCAACCACCTCCACTGCTGTTCATTTTATTCTGTAGCATTTCATTCTTAGTACCACAACATAACTTGTAGAACAGTTTAGTAGTATTTGAGCACACTGTAATATCTAGGAGACAGGGTTGCATATAATAATCAGAAGGGAACTGCAGTTTAACTCTTTAGATTATTAAATGTTTGTACACTGTATATGCTACTTGCAACAACTCCTCTACACACTGGCAAAGCTCAAATTTGGATCATATTATGAATATTATTAGATGTACTATATTTACAATGATATGCATGATAATGCTGAAATGTTATGATCAGAGGAAAGGAAATCCAAAGCAGACAAAGGGGAAATCCCTCTTACCTCCCCAGTATTCTTCACCCTGAGCACAACACATAAATAATGTGAGGTAGAAAGAGCTGCTGCCTCCAAAGGCAAGGTCATCTCATTAAAGCAGTCTACATTAGTTAGTAAACATATTTATAACAATCTATAACAGCACACCGCTGAGCGAAGAAAGCACTGTCAAGAAGTTAATGACTTAATGCCTTTTGTTTTAAAACCTACCTTAACAAAACAGAGTGAATAAAACATCTTCAAGAATGACCAGAATGTGATTCTGTGAATCAGAATGTATGGACATTAACTGACTCAGTGTGATGCTCTGGTGAGCATAGTATCTGGTTTCACAAAGCTTAATATCACGAATAAAATAATTCTCTATGGAAAATGTTGTTATTGTAATAGCTGCAACAGTTTGACAGACTGTGTCATTACTTGGGCCAATGTATATGTTTGCAATGTCATATGTCAGTGTTATTCTGTGTTTCAGGAGGGAGAGCAGGTTTTCTCCTAACTGCAGAATCCTAACTACCAATCCCCAGTTTCTCCAGTCCACATGTCAAAGCGTCCTCGAGCAAGATCCTGAACCCCAGGTTGCTCCTGGTGGCCACTAGGCAAATACTGCTGTATGTAGAAAAGTGATATATAAGTGCACGTCCATTTGCCATTTAGTGTTCTGGTGTTCATGACAATTCCTGTACATGTACATAATGCACAAGGCAAGAGAAGAAAGAAAGAACAGGTGGATGCTGTGGTGGTGGAAAGAGAAACCATCATAGGCAGTAGCATCAGTGGTTGCATGAACAATCAGAAAACTGAGGCTTTGACTAGTTGACTGTTAAGTGAGGTCACTCTAGCAGAGAGTCTAGAGGCCAAACATCACCTTTAATACACATTTATTTGCAAAACCCATTCTGATTGAACGGGGATTATTTTGTGTGGTAAACTAAACAATTAAGAGTCAAACTATGAACAAAGCATTTGAGAAATTTAAGAAAAGTAAGGCATAAAAATACTTGTTTGGACTAAGGCCATTCTCAGTACTTCTCACCTTGCATACAGTGGCACAGAACTGTTTGCAGAATACTATGGCATCACTGTTGGGTGTGGTTACAGGTGCAAGAGAGTCCAGTTCTAACCAGACCCCAAAACACATTCAATCAGACGGCAATGAGAGACTGTCTTTGAGCCTGGTATCAAGTTACTGTTTAAAGTCTGAATGTGACAGCAGTCACTGTCTTACCAGCATATTCCGGGTCCACATGAGGAGGGTAGAAGCGAAAGTTAATGAAGAAAGGGATGGGCATTCCATACTTGAACCACTCCACCACGTAGGGCTGGCCGTTCAGGGGGTAGGAGACATCGCATCCCAGGATGACGTTCTCTCCTGCACGTGCTGTCACAAACTGGGGCTCCTCTCGCACTCCGCGGGCACCTGAGGAAACGGGACACGAAGGTAAACTCAGTCAGTGATCCTACACTCAGCCCACTTTGAGCCTACACACCTGACCTACAGATTATGGTGAAAAGCAAAACATTGCTTCAAAATTTCATTTTAGTTATGAGTATTTCACAAAATGATATTAAAATTTTAATTTTTTTCTCATTTAGTTGACATTCACATTGCGCCCTCGATTAGTACGACATGTCATTTTCTATTCTCGCCTAAACCACAGGTTTAGCCCTAATCAATCAGATTCCAGTTAGTCAGCGTAACAATCCAGGTTGCAGATAAATAGCCCACAACCTTTGGGTGGAATGTATATTTTCAACTGTAATAATGCAAGTGCCCACATTCTCCCAGAAACCACAACAAGTTCCAGCAAAGATAAGCAAAATGTTTCATTTAGTTTTGGATGATGAGTATACTGTATGCAGATGAGTTACAAAATCTTAACGTTTTGGCAGTGATGCATGCTAATGTAGCCTGGCCATGTTTTCCAGACACAGATGTCCTCCGCACACACCAGAAAAAGAAAGCAGAGGAGAAAGCAGAGGACATCTGCAGCCTCTGTGATGCCACCTAGGTAGGACAAAGTGAGGCAGTTCAATTCCTGTTCTCCCCAGTCCACATGTCAAACTGTCCTTGGGCAAGACACTCAACCCCAAGTTGCTCCCAACACCGGTGTGTGTGTGTCTGTGTGTGTGTGCGTTTGTGTGTGTGAGCGTGTGTGTGTGTGACTTGGCACTGCAGATGGCTGCCTCAGTTCTGTACTGGAGACAAATTCCTTGTGTTTGCAACATACTTGGCTAATAAAAGTGATTATCATTATCATTATCAAGAAAGTGATCCGTGTGAGTTGTGCACACAAAGCTTTTTGTAGGCCCTACTTTAACTATGCAATGCAATAGCTTTTGTAGGCTACATAAATGACTAATAGTTTATTTTGTGTTCTTTTTAAGGCTTCCACAATCTCACTGAAGCAAGGGGTCAGCGCAGTCTCACCCTGAATCGTCATTCTACGTTGCTGAACTCAGTGACATAAGACAGCGATTAACAGCAGTGGAGGCTTGCCAGGACAGTCCCCAGGAAGTAGAGCTGTGTGGAGGATGTGCTGTCTAGAGGACTCAGCTGGAGGCTGTGACTCAGAGACAGGGAGAAATAGAAGCCCATGTAGACTGGAAAACTAGTCCAGTCTTTAAACACCAGACCAGCAGCTTCTTTGAAGTTGTATTATGTTAAATCTGGGTGAAATAATCAAACCCAATACTCTGCATTTTTTAAGGCAGCAGGCATCAAAATTAAACTTGCTTTGCTCTCAAATATTCATCTTAAATATCTATTACTTTGTCCATAAACAATAAGTTCTATGCTTTTTGTTTGTGCATACCCACAGAATATCACACATGACTCCTGTGAATCTGGGTACAACATCTCACCTGTTTCTGGGGGAAAAAAGTTGTTAACAAGGATAATAATAGTACATCAGATGATTGTGGAGTTACAGTTGCTGTGCCACAATAAATTACCACAGCCCCTTCAGAGTGTGATTTAGATTTCTAACTCAATTTTATTTAGTAAACATTTTTAAACATAGTGAATTTAAACAATCACTGCATGCTGTTAAAACAAGTTAGGATTAGGCAGTGGCTATATGTAAACTTTAAATTGCATTTAGTCCAGTTTGAAACTTTTTTATTATTATTATTTTTTGATTATATTCTAGTAATGCAGGAGACAGCACATGTTTCAGTTCAGGGGAAGTGACAGTTGTTTTCATTTCCAGACAGTCTGTGTTATAGCTGCATCTATAATTGTTTGTGTGTGATAGCACAAATATGTGCTAAGCTACAACTTCCATCAGTCAAAATGACAGACTGCCAGTGACAAATGCAATAGAGTCGTGGTTCCCAAATGGTGTGCCATGAGGCGAGTCCAATTGTTTCCCAATTCAGAGGCCGAGCCTAAAAGAACCACCTCTAGGAAAGAGAAATAGAACTATCAGTAGACAGCATCATCAAAGCTGCCTGTCTTATGGCTTCAGCTTGACTGCGGATGTCAACAGTCCTCAGCCCAAGTGTGTGATCTGTAGGGAGAAGTTAGCTAATGCTAATGTGGTGCCAAGCAAACTGAAGAGGCACTTGGAAACCAAACATCCATTCTACATTGATTGAAATGTGGCCTAAGAGCATGAGATCTGCACCAGAGGAAGCAAGACTATTTATGAGACTGTCTGATAAGGCGATGGAGTAAAGTTATATGCTAGTAATGCTTACTGCAAAGTAGATGAAACCTCACAAGGTAGCGTAGACACTCATCCTCCCCACTTGCAAAAAAATTGCAGGTGTCAGGCTAAGTCCAGATGCCGCAAACGCGCTCTCTTCAATAGCACCAAGGATGCAAAAAGTCTGTGAGCGCCGACTGACATGCCTCATTAGCTTATAAGTACGCAAACAATATTTACAATAGCAAATGTTTTAATGCTGATTCCGTTTTAAATTGCATTTAAATGTTTTCTTCTCAACTTAGTGTCAACCAGTTTTCATTCTCAATGCACTGCTTTTGTTTACAATTTTAGACTAAAGTTTTATATCCAACTCAGTGCATACTCTAGTGTATATATGCAAATTAGTTTTTATTCCCAGTGTATCTCTCTTCTTAGTTTGGTCTCTAATCATCTTTGTGGCTCCCTCTCAGGCCAGATCTAGCCCTCCTCTCTCACTCACTCATTTTGTTTGTCATAAGTAAATAAAAATAAAGGTTTACAGAGTTACCAGGCTGACAACATGTGGTATAAAGGCTATTTTACATGGACATGAATACAAGTGTGCCTGGAGATTTTGGCCTTGGGCACAAAAAGTTTGAAAACCACTGCAATAGAGAGTCAAGACCAGTGGGCTGGAAAGAGCAGGATTACCGGCACTTGTAGGCACATGGATGTGATTTATCTTAAAAGAATGTCACTATTTCATTTGGCTGAAAGAATGTGGGCAGACAAAAAACTGAAAAGGCAAATGTTACAGTAACGCACCTGATGGCTGATAATATCTGGACTTTTAACCTTTTCCTAAAATAATTCAGTCTGTTAGTTCAGTAATGGAGCAACCCCAATGAAACTGAGTGTCTATGGGATAGCTGCTGGATGGCCACATCAATCCCAGGCTAATTGCTGTGTAGCATCGCTTTATGAGCAGAAACCCGGCATGGTAGCATTTTACCAGTCGATACATCTAATCACATGTACTTGCTGCTTGTTCCTCTGTGGCCTGTAAAGAAGCCATCCAGGCAGATAGGATTTTCTGCACACAGATCATAGCCTGCTGTCTACAGTGCCTTGCTAGTCATTGAATGTAAACAGTGTAAGGCAATATGAGCTCAAGAAGCTAACACAACTTCATCTGTTACATCTGCAAGGGTGAATCACTGGTTCTGGTTCCTACAGCCAGCTGAAGATGTTTGCAAACCATTGGCTGCCTAGACAGAAGTCCAGGAAATGTTTAGAAAGTCATTAACAGTAGTGTAAAACGTAATTCATAATTAATAGCACTTGCCAAATCTGCAATGGCTGCATGTGGAGTAAAAATCAATCAATACAGCATCAGTTCTAATATCATATTTACAATATAAAGTATATATTGGTGTTTAATTTTTGATAAGAATATAAAGTACACTGCAAAGGTTTTAGAAACAATAACTTAAGGCGGATACTTTCACAAATAATGCCATGAAGTTTTATTTATAAATTAACCTCATCCAAAATATGGTAAACTGAAAAAAAACCTGATATTTGGTGTGACACCACCACCCACCTCCATCTTGTGCGACGAGATCTCGCGATATTAAAACGTGACAATATTTTTATTATTTTAAAAAACACAGTTTAACATCTAGTACTAATGAAAATGCATGGCGTGCCATTGTGGTCCATTAATTGTGGCCCAAATTTGACAGTGAATAGCAGTGAATGCTCATGCTAACAAGGTAAACAAGAGTTTTCTTCCTGTGGCCGTCCACGTCCCAATCATCCCCCATACCTGACTGGTCAGTGCAGTGCCTTTACTGGATGATGTCATTGTCCGGTGCAGTGCAGTGAGGGTCAAGGTAGCATCAGTCACACACAGCTTCAGTTAGAAGTTAGAAGCTCATGCATAGTTCATGCACAGTTATAAGGTCTGAAGAGACTCATGTGAAATCATACAGGAGAGAACCCAGTCAGGTGCGTTTGTGGTAAAATATTTTACAGTGCTGCACATTGTTCTGTCTTTTACTGCATATGATAATTCATACTCAGCAAGCAGAAGTGAAGTGACTTTCATTACAAGATGACTAGTTAAAACGTCACAAAATGCACCTGCATTGTTTTGCATTTTATGACTTTCAGTTGAGCAAAAAGACTTTTTCCAGTCATATATTTCGATATATATTTGAAGATTTCTTAAAAATATTGTTAAAATATCATCTTGCCTCATTTTCGAACCCAGTATCGTGCATCGTCTCGAGAGCTAAATGTATCATCACACCCCTAGCTAACACAACAGCATCTTGATATGGATGACAGAGATACCACACTGATGCAAGAAGGCTCACCAAGTAGAGGACAAAGGAAAATATGGTTGCTGTGGCAAAAATATTTAAAGCATAATGTGGCATGATCATGTATGATACACTACTACATCCTTCCAGAACTGTAGTGGCACTTCTCTTCAGCCAATCAACTGTGAGAACCTGGTTAATTTGCAGTGACAAAAAGAGTGTACCTAAATATGTTAAGCAAACATCCACTTTTAAAATGAAATATAAGAGAGAAAAAAAATGAATGAAAGTAAAAAGACATTAATTAAAACGTTGTTTACTCAGTGTAGCAGGACGTGGAAAAGTCACCTCTTACTGTATAAGTGAAACACCAGGCACATTTTTGTTGTGCCTAAATGCCTGGTAGCATATAAAAATAAAAATAAAAATTCCCCACTCGCCCCACTTTGGGGCAGTCTTAT